GATACACGGATATTATTTGCTAGTTTTCCATCGTTATTGCCTGAGTAGCACTGTGTAAATTGTCCGTAATCCTTGTGGATTATCGACTATAGAAATTTTTACACAGATTAACACAGGTGTTCATCACTTTTTAAATAATTTGGGAAGCTGTCGTCCCCATTCATGCCATTCAATCAGCACAAAAAAAATTCCCCCCAAACAAAAAAATTTTCTGACCTACCGACCAATTGTGTAATCGGAAGCACAACTATTTATGTGGCCAAATAAAAGACTGCGTGTATGCAGTGGGCCAAAGTAAACCATAATAATCGTGGATTCTGAGAAATCTTGGGCAAGTGTTGATCCAATTTGGGCAAACAAATTTATGGCATGGCCTGCCCTATTGGGCAAGCCAAAAAAACTACCAGCAAAACATGTGAAAGATGAGATGTATTCCAACAAACGTTGGAAACATGAGATGTACAGGATGTAGTTTTTATCAAATGTTAGAATAATTGATCTATTTGAAAAGCAGTTCACACAAACTGAAATGAATCAGAGTGAATAACATGTTTTTTAGTCATCTCTTTTTTTAAACAAATTTTCCTGCCAAAATACATAATGTTGGCTCAAATTTGTGGAATGGCTATAAAATCAAATATTTGGCTACAACTTTGGCTATTAATTGAAGTTTTCCAGCTGTAACCCTGAGTGGGCCCTTATAGTAAGCAATAACTGAGTGCTTTCTGGGTAACCTTATTTCCACAAGCTCTTGAAAAGTTCTGAGTGTGTGTGGCTGAATAAATAATTTACATTAAAGGAATGAAAGACCAAATCCACCACAGTTCCTTAATTTTGTTGTTTTTTTCCCTCTTGTTGCCAGGTCAGCTTCCTTTGGTTACGGAAAGCCACCTGAAGAGTACATGACCCTGACTGTCTACATCGTCATATCGGTAGGCCTGGGTCTTCCTCTGATCATCGTAGTGTTTGGTGGAACAGGCGTCTGCATCTCCAAGCACAGGCAAAAGAAGAGGAACAGGTCACTCCTGACCAACTAGGCTGAGATAGGTTATGCTTCAGTGAGCCAGAAAGGTAAGGTCGTTCGGGTACAAAGTGCACACATGAGTTTGTGTAGAGGTGCACTGATAGGACAGATTGTCCCACATGTGCCCCTGGTCCCAAAGAACCTCGGACGCACTTCAATTTAGTAAGCACCGTCGATATATTGATATATCAATATTATTGATATGGGGTTGATATCGATATCATCAATGTTAGTCACAGTATATTTGGTAATATCGAGATATCGAAAATATCGGATTTTGGATAAATATCGAAAAAATATCGAAATTTAGAGAACATCGAAACTGAAAAATGTATGGAATATGTCGCTACTGAGGAACGAACTGTGTTAAAAAATATGAAAGTGCATCGTCACATTACCGTCATTTTTCGATAAGCCACTGCTCACATTGGTTCTCACACTGAGTAAAAATCGTCCTCGTAGCTTATACTGTGGGCGGCTTATACGGCAACATTTGAAGAATAAATTCAGTCACCTATCTCAGTCTGGCAATCAATAATTCGCATACACTTTGCCTCGAAAATATCACAAAATTTATCCTCCAAAAAGAGAATTATTTGCCAACCAAGCGTACGTAGAGTAGCACCACGTGCTGATGATATCGCTATGTACGGCAGCGTGTATCCCATCCCATGTAGGCAACGCACGCAATACGGACGCTAGAACATGTCATCAAAGTGAATTGGATCACACCATTACTGTATAGGGGGCCGTTGTACCCTTAAAACAATTTACCAGCAATTCACGCCTACTATAATACCTTGAAAATTAAAATGAATAAATGAATAAAATTCGATATATTGATAATATCGCTATAAAAAAAAAAAAGATAAATCGGTGTTGTCCAAAATACGATATTGGCAGTGCCTACAGTTTAGGCAAGAACTGTTGGAATACCGAACTGGCTCATCGGAATAGGGCAACTCCATACAGAAGTGGAAATCAGTCATACTCTTACTGGCCTTATTTTTATATATAAACAAAGACCCCTTTTTCAAAAATGAATAGGAAAATAAGAGGTAATGATATTACTTGTTCTGTCCACTTTCATGTTCTGAATTTTTTCTGTAATTAAAAATGTTAATGAAGTTGGTAATCGTGCAACCAATTTCCACGTTACCTTGGCATTGGCCATTGTTTTTATTTGTTCTGAGAGTACGGCAGAAATGTAGTGAAAGAAAGGAACTATTTTGTATTAAAACTGAACCACAGAACTTTGAAGTACTGTGAAGCACATGTCATTAAACTGAGCCCTTTCTTGAGTTACCGACTGAGATATGACAGTAGTGACTTGTCCACAAAGATTTATTGAAGTGTTGTGTAAATGGAATCGATGCATTTTTCATACTTGTGCAATGGTAAGAATAAATTTCATTCACTCGCAGATGGAGTGTTGCATTGAACATTTCATGTGTCACTGCGTAAAAAGCTTTTCTTACACTCATGAAATTTTGTTATTGGCGTTATGTCAGTGGAAAGCAGAAATGTAAGTTCCAGCTGGGCTGGGCTGCTATATACTTGTATCTTGGTGGTTCCTTCATCTTTGAGTGACGTCAAGCACGTCCCATTTCCCTTGACAGTTGACTTTGGAAGATAGGACCTACTTTCTTGCCTTCCATGGTCCCCTTTAGTTCATGGAAGCTTATTGGTACTCCATAACCACGCCATATGTGCTTACACATACCTATGGTGTACATCCCTAACCCTAAACTTGCATAAGAATACAGTGGCAAACTGAAGATTTCATCTAGGTAGGGCGCTCAAAAATTTCCAAAAAGTCCCCTTCTCCAACAGAAAAAAAAATTTTGGAGGGGGCTGAGATGTGTTATGTCCTGGAACACCACCGCAGTAAAACAGCTTTTTGACCAAACGGTGTAAAATTGCTAACGGCCAATGCAGCACCTTGTGCCCAAATTGACAAAGCGATCCCTATTCAATGTCTTCTTCACGGAGTGAAAGATGTAAATAACAGTACTTTCCTGGGTTAAAGTTAAAAATGTTTAACATACATGAGAAAACATAAAATGCAGTGTGCTGCAAGTGGAAACAAGAAATATTTGTGATACTTGCATTTATTAAACACTTTATCCTACTTAGTGACTCTGCTTACTGTACAACATTTTATTCTGCACTACTCAGGCAAGGCCACCTGTTTACATGTACTTTGTAAGATATCAATGGTTTTCAATTACCACGCCATCTCATTGCAAGGACGATTACATTACAGGTTCATTTCAGAGCTGTTAGGTTCTTAAATGCCAAGCTTATAGAGTAGCCTGTGGCGTGAGATTGGATATAATTTAGCCAAAATCAAGGCAGTTAAAATTTATTTAATATATATTAAAAATGGTAGTCAAATACACCAAGCACAACATTTAAGTGTGTTATTTTTGTGAAGATCAGATCCACCTGAAATGAAGAAAATATCAGAGATAAATTGGAATTTTACTTTTGCACTTTGTCTTCAGCTTTACACAAGTCACAACTTCACAAAAAGTCACCAATTGTACTGCCATTGTTTGTATACAGAGAGATCATTCTTAATCATGATCATACAATACAACTAATCTACTTGCCCTAGTCCCCCCTCTCTGGGGCCTATCCAGGTTTGGACGGGATGGGGAGCAAAATTGAATTTTTTTTGCAACCGTCCAATTTTTTCATCAGTAAAAGAATCCTCATTACCCATCACTACATCCAACAAGATGGCAGTGCTATTTCTCAATATTTGTGATTTCAATTCCAAAAAAGACAAAATGGCAACTTGTCCCTTTTTTCTCCCCTGCTTGATACCCCTCTACCCACCAACCCCTCATCCGTCTGCCCCTACAGGAACCTGTATATCAAAGTTTCGTATTTACATTGTCACATTTAACAAAGGAACGGCTAGTAAGACAATACATGTTTACATGTTATATTATAGTCTATATTTGTACATCTACTTAAATGTTTACATCGGAACACGTTTCTTATTTCTAATTTACATGTAGAGGTGTCCACGAAGTGCACATTTTTTTTTAAGAAAACAATTTTACAATATTTATTGTCTAGATTTAAGGACAGTAATATGTTACCCGTCACGACAAAATGAGAGTGAAGTCGCATCCCGCTCCTTCCTATATTGAGGGTTCGAAGTCCGATTGAAGTTGAGGTCAGTTTAGGGGTTTTGTAATATTTGGAAAGAGTAACCCGTCTCCTATTTTATTCCAAATATTTCGCAGGATCTCATATTTACAATGTCATTTTCTCGGCAATTCGGCGATAGCATTATTTGTGTTTGGAACAAAAACGCTGCTCATCTTGTGGTGTGACAGGTGACATATCTTCAGAATTCTAACATCTTTTCTTCAAATGAATCAACAGATGGACCTTCATAATGAACCACCATCAAAGTATTTTTTTCCAATTTTCATGACCATTGAAGTAACCTCAGAAACAGTTTTGATTTGACTTACACATTACCATGGTCCAGCCAGTCCTGCTGTTTCTATGCTTAAATTGAATTAAGAACATTTAATGAACATAAGGACATTAAATGATAGCATTGTAATTTCACTTATCGCATGTCGAATTGGGTGCCTGGTCAAATAGTTGTCAAACAGGCTAAAGAACGTGCTATATCCTATTACTTCCTGTTTTCACAACTTTCACCTTGGGATGATTTTTGGGTTTTGTTTGTAACATTTAGTTTAATGAATCATTTCATCATTTAATGAATCATCGAAGAAATATAATTGTATGCTATCATAACGCAGTGTTTAATTTATACTGATCTGATAAATTGATTTCATTTATTGCGTGAAAAATTTAGGGCTTACTATAACGGGAGTTTTTACTGTCATATGGAAACTTCCACATTGAAGAAGTTGAAATAAAAAAGAAGTTGGAACGACGAAGTGAAATTTCATGATGTTTGAAATCGATGTCTGTTTGCTTGCATGTATGGGATTTCTTAGGGGGCTGGAGTGGATTGGTGCAACGTGCGCTGTAGTTTGTGGACTGTTTTCTTGAGTTGTCTATTGAAATAGCACCTAGAAAAGCCTTTATCAGTTTGTTTTATGAGGAGTTTGTCGTGTAATTAAGAGAAAATTTAAAATACATTTCCGTTTGTTATCAACAGCACACCCTAAAAGCTCTAAGTACATTATACAGTCAAGTTTCAATGTATTTCTTTGGTAATTAAGTTCGAAGATTAAATCTTACAGCTTTCACAATGTTGTCATTTCCCGACAAATTATCTCAGGATGTTATCATCCAACTTTTAGGATGTCGCCATCCCATGATTGATTATCTCAGGATGTCGTTTATCCAACTTTTAAGTTGTCATCCCGTGAAAAAAAAATGTCAGGATTTCATCAAGTCGTATGGCACTTCCAGAGCTCCGTAGAATCACACAAAAGGGACGCCCTAATTTGTGCAAGCTGTTGCCATGCATGCATGCAACTGTCCAATTTCCAATAGTGAGCTCCGTTGCTGAGCAAGACATACGGCACCTGTACACCACCTGATTACTTGTCATTAAAGGTGCACTCTTTAAAGCCCTGTATCTCCTGAAGTACATGTTCTATCAGGTTGAAACTTTGCAGATAACTTGAAAGAGAGGTGTTACATATGAAAAAAGACTTGATGTGATTATGCCTTAGTTGTTAAAATGTACAAAAGAATGCGGAAAAGCCCTCTGTTCTGTTGGCAAACAGACAGATAACCTCTCGTTTTTGTTGTTTTTTTTCTTCTTCTGTCTTGTTTTTGTTTGTTTGTTGGGGTGTTTGTTGGGGTGTTTGTTTGTTTGTTTGTTTGTTTGTTTGTTGGGGTGTTGGGGTGTTTGTTTGTTTGTTTGTTTTTTGACACGCTTCCGTAAAAATCGTCAGCTGCCGTTGGACGTTATAAAAGTGTTAGCCACACAGACTTTGGATGAAGCTGACCCACTCATTGATGCAGGCAATGCAACACTGAATGGGGCTCTTGGTTTGGGTAACGGAGAAGGTGTGGTTTAGTAGGCAGAAGCTTTGGGTCGAATAACCTCGAGTTAGGCTGATGGCAGAACACTGAAAGGTTCTGGTCAACCTTGTGGCATGACGCTCACATATGGTGTACCTCCGAGGATAACAATCAGTTCCAAACCACCGCCTTCCAGATTCAGCCAGTATCACACATAGATCATCAGGCTCACTTGATGTATTGAATGTGAAGTACCCTTCAGGACCACTAAGATTCTGAAAGCACGTCAGTGTGTTGTTAGGTAATTTGGCTGTACAGCCCAGCCACAAACTTCTCTCAGGATTCGGCCAAGTTTCTCGAAGCAGCCCATAGAGGAAATCATTCTCAGCCTTTGAGTTAGGAACGGCCAAGTTGCCGTTCATCCTTTGGCACGTCTCTTGTGCTTCAGCCATTCCCAGCTGAGTGTCTATGACGGCCATCCAACAGGACTGACAGTTGGGTATCCAGCCCAATGGACATCTCGGTAGAGTGTTTAGTGAGTGGATTTCAGCTGCTCCAAGCAACAGGACAAAAAGTTTGCACAACACCATCATTTGAGCTCAATTTGTGTGCCGCTTTGTTTCTTGTGGTGCTTTCTGTGCGTTCTACAGACCTTTCATGTGTTTTTCTTACTTGTTTCGACTCAAAGCAGATTTCCAATTGCGCGGTGAAGGATATTTCAAACCGAACTGTGGATTGCATCTGAGCTGCGTGCCGAATTTAACTTCTGTGAAAGAAGTGACAGCAACGCCCTAGTAATTTCAACGATCCCGGCGCACGATCGATCATGACCAGAGGAACACATATGTTGTGGCTATTTCCAGTTGTGATAAAAAGCGACCGGCTCCTGCCTGCTCATTTTGAACTTTATTAAAACACCTTACTCCGTGGAAATGGAGGACGCGTGGAAATATATATATATATTAATGGAGAAGTGTCATAAATTCAGCAATGTTGTTTTCACATGCTACGTGTTTTGCACGGTGCACAAACTACACCCTGACCAGCCAACATACAGTCTGAGGGTTGGAAAATCAAAACCATACAGCTTCATTCTTCCAATTAAACACGATTTAAACCCTAGTTAGCACAAACTATGAAGTAGCAGAAACTGACCAATTGGCAAATCTCAACATAGTATAGTCAGCAATAGTGGAAGCTGGAATTCAGCTCTATATAAGCCACGGACTGGACCAAGAAAGGGCGCAATTTTCAGAGTTGAAGATTCGAGCCACTCGACCAGGACTCGAAGCTGACTCGAGTCGCTATTTTTGTGACTCATGATATGATTTGTAACTATCAATTTTGACTTGTGACTTGACTTGCGCTTACGAATATGACTTTTGACTTGACTTGGACTGGCTTATTTTGACTTGTTACCAACACAAGTCAAAAGCGTTTCAATCGAACCATTAACGTTTTGAATTAGGCCTATCAACCAGCTTAAGACTTAGGTCGCTCGTGGTTGAAAGTAAGGAGTCAAGACGCAAATATGGAATTCCATATCTGCCGTCTCCCGTCACATGTTGCTTTTTGTTGTGTCCCAATTCTGCCATATACCACTTCCAAACATGCCATTTTCCGTCGTGCGTCGCCCGTCGTGCGTCGTCCGTCGTCATGAAAGTGTGTGGGGGGTCGACTGAATAGCTCATCCCCACCCCTAAAGGGGGGGGATTATATCCCGCATTCCCTGGATTAACGCCCATGACTCAGGTTATATAGACCTATTACTGGAGTTATACCCTTTCCATCTTTCATCCAAACTGCATTTCCACCCTTTATCCATTCTTACGCATGTTTTCGGGCAAATCTGAAAAATTTTGCCGTGTCTTGAAAGTTGCAGGCCAGTACCTTGGCCCAAAATTGGTTGCGCAGACCAATCACGATTGCATGCTGTCGAATCAGTTTCTGCTGTCTGAGAACTTCATGGCACATGGACTGGATAGTTTGAACAATGAAAATGAAAAGAAAGCTGAAAAGAAGAGATGAGAGCAAGTAACATGGACTGCCAGCTTGTATTTCAGAAAGTGTTGGACAAAACGGGGTTCTCCAAATTTTGCTTTTGGAGGTGATTGTCTCTGGAGATGTTATATCTTCGAAATTTATCGGTTAAGCCACTAAAAACTGATAAAAACTGATGCCGAACTTTGAAACGTGTCTTGAACAACTGACAAACTTGTATTTTCGTAATTATTCAAGGGAATTTATCACTGCTGTCTATGAGAGAATTTAACATTGCGCATTTTCCTCTTATCAACAGAACACCCCGCAAAATTTCCAGTACACCATAAAGTCATGTTTTATGTATTCCATTTGAAATGAAGTTCAGATATTAACTATTAATCGTTAATGCAATACGTTCCGCTCCAAACATCTTTTAGGTTATTAGATATTGATGTCAAGGGTGCAAAATTTTAAATTGCATTTGTTAAAGCTGAAAGAAACCGCAAAAATTAGGCTACTCCATGCGATTTTCCCTGCAACTTTAGACATTTGAAATGTTTAATGTACCATCTACATTAATAGGTGCATTATCAGACCGGCACTGATAGACAGTAAAGGTACAATTCAAGTGCTGGTACGCTTATCCTAACTGACAGCCAGTGAAGGCAACTCTCTTCAAGGACACATTTTGCAACATGCCTAACAAAGATTGCCAGAAAGGCATTACAGTAGGCCCCTACGCTTCAGTATTTTCTTAATTCGATCATAACATTCAAATAAAGTGTTATCAATAGCCACTGCCGTTTATCATTTCAAGAGAAAATAGAAAATTTATACCTGGGCTTTGAGGTCCTGATTACACGATGCTGACCATAAAATGGTAGACTACTGTCTGATTCTTGTTACTTGTTTCATTTTTATTTATGCAAGTATCCGTAAAATATTCTTCGGTGACTAAAATGTACCGTGTCTGACGAGTACAGCATATAGCAGTGGTAGTGGCAATGGGGCTGCACAAAGGTTACAGGGTTTGATGCCCCTTTTTAAAAAAAAAAAAAAGATCGCGGGGAGCATACCCTGCCCCCCTGCGCCCGCCATTTAGCAATAAATAGGTTGGAAAGTATTCCAATCAAAATTTTCCAGTGCAGCTCACATAGTGTGAATTTGAAAGTACAGGGACAAAAAAACACTACTTTCAGTCCCACAAGGCAAAACAGTGAAAAACGCACTCTCCATAAGACTGAATCGCTCATAAATTCACTCTAAAAGAGTGAAAGCCACTCTTGAGAGTAAAACACCACCCTTAAAAGAGTGAAATCACCCTAAAAGAGTGAAAATCACCTTAACAGAGAAGCCATATAACTCGAACGAGAGTTGTCCTTTCTACGGCTCCTTGAAAAAGCAGAAAGTTCACTCTATGTAGACTAGGTTTCACTCCTTTTAGAGTGGTTTTCACTCATTTGGACTGGATTTCTGATGAGGGACTCACTCTTTTTTAGAGTATTTTTACTCTTTTCCATTGGCGAGAGTGGGCTGCAGCTGGAAAGGGCTCAAGTGCAAAAACCCAGATTGTCAAGAACTTTAATCCTAAACATCCGAATTCCTTCAATTTAAAGGCATATTTACATACACCCTTGGGGATCAGACAAACAGGAATACCCTTCTTGTCGTCCATTAGGCTGCATTCTTTCCAGAAAAAAAAACATGTCAAACAGGACAGATGAACAAAATCTCAGGACCCACTGCATTGCTTCAACCGTTTTCTCACCTTGTTCTACAGAGCCACAATTCCTAACAATGATGGAAAAACAGTAATTGGGTTCGTGATCAAGTCATGGAGCGACATTTGAAAATACTCGCGCTGGCAAACAGGATTGAAAATATAAGTAAAATTTCACCCAATTTTTAGCAAACTTTAAAGGTACTTCGTTGAATAAAATCAAGTTCTGGCTTCCAATAACTTCAATAATCTTCATTACTT